ATAACACTTATGTATTTATGATTTATTTTTGCATACACGGTTTAATGAGTGTTATTCATCTTTATGATACACATGTTAGTGTTTATTTAGCACTACACCAATTTTATTTATTTATTTTCTGCACTTTGCGGTTGAAGTAAGGTGTTTAGCTGCTTAGAGTAGGGTTTATCCATTTAAGCGCAGGGGAGTGTTCTTTACAGGTCTTTCTCTTTCACTTTACCTCAAATCTATTATATCTTTTACCCCCCCCATCCCCGCGTAGTTTACCACTGTATTATTAACATTGCCGTTTTCATGTATTACTGATATTGACTCTGCTGATTGGGTTTGTTACATTCCTGGCCACCCATGGTCCAGATTCCTGTTTCCTGTTTTTTTGAGTATCATTATTATTTTTGAGTATCATTATTACTTTGTGTATGACTGCTTGTCTGAAAATATTCTAATGCTGTAGTTTGTAGATTGGACTAAAATCATGGACTTTATAGGCACCACAACTATAATTCATAAAATTCAATGCTTTATTGAATAAGTACACATATACAATCACTTACAGAATATAACCTAACCCTGTAACATATAAGGAAATCAATGCAGATTCACATACAGTTAGTAGACCCCACAACATCATAGATATGCCATGTCTTGGCAATGACTGAGTGGGTTACTCTTAATATTAAGGTGATGATGGCTCAACATGTTTCACAATTATGTTGCTTCTTTAGGAGCTATGAGCGGATTTATCTGCACATAGACAATGGAGGGGAGCACCCGATAACAATACTAGAGGCCAATCGATGAGGGGATCCCAACAAGACCGAAGAAGAAGTAGACTGCGCTCCCTCCCCATTAGGTAAACATGGTAAAGCCACTGACTATTCCCCTAGTGACATACACGTTGATTTAGTCTACAGAGGCCAGTACCACATATAATGGTCTCACTGGAATGTTCAACAGTGAGCTCAAGAGACTGAAACAGCCCCCCACTATTAGCCAGACAACTATGTTGTACTCCTTCTGGGGTGGGATATATATCCGTGATCAGGCTCTCCTAAGTAGTAGGTTGCAAATTGCCAATTGTTTGTTTGTCTGTTTGATAATGAAGGTATACTGGGTATATAATCCTCTGGACCTCTTCAGATCCTCGGACACCACCACCATGCCTCAATGCTCTCAATGCAGGGTATACTCTGTCTTTGAAACTTCCTAACAAACTCATGTTTTTGATATGACTCCTGTTCAAATGTTATCTTTGCTATCTTTTATAACATTTCAATAAAAACATTGGAATACAAAATATGTCCACTGGACGTCCTCCATCAGTTTTTCACTTACTTCATCATAAAATAACAGGTTTATCTGACTAGAACGATCATTCATAAATCCATGCTGGTTGTGATTTACGTATGATACCTTTTATTGTTAACAGATTTCTGAATAGGGTCCCTTACCATTCCCTCAAATAAATTCCTGTACTAATGATCTTGGACTGAGTGGTCTGTAATTTCTTCATATACATCTCAATCCTTTTTTTTTTTAAAATTGGTAACACATTTGCTCTACGCCAATCAGTTGGCACCATTTCAGTCAGTAATCTTTCTTTAGAAATAGTGGTTTGGTTATAATGTAACTAAGTTCCCTAAGGACTTGGTGTAAGCCATCCGAGGCTGGTGATTTGGTCACAATATGTTTCTCTGGTTTCTTGTACCTTGTATTTTGCAAGCCCTAGAGGTACTTCTGGTGAAATGTTATTAGTAATACTGTTACAGTTATCAAACCTGTATTTTTCATCAGTTAAAAACTGAAGAGAAATAATGGATTTGTTTAACTTGCTCTAGCAATGTATTTTTCGTGTTTTATTGCTCCCTTGCATTTGTTGTTGTATTCCTTGTAAATCTGGACAAGGGTGTCTCTTCTACTTTGTACTTTTTAACCACTTGAGCTCCTGAGGATTTACCCGCCTTAATGACCAGGCCTTTTTTTGCTGTTTGGCGCTGCACTAATTCAAATGATAGTTGCGCGGTCATGCAATGCTGTACCCAAACTAAATTTACGTCCTTTTTTTCACACAAATAGAGCTTTCTTTTGATGGTATTTTATCATCTGTGCGCTTTTTATTTTTTTGCGCTATAAACAAAAAAAAACGAAAATTTTGAAAAAACCAATATTTTCTACTTTCAGCTATAAAAAAATATATCATAAACTCAAAGTTAGTCATAAATTTAAGCCAAAATGTATTCTGCTACATGTTTTTGGTAAAAAAAAATCCCAATAAGTGTATATTGATTGCTTTGTGTGAAAGTTATAGCATCTACAAACTATGGTATAGATACTGCAATTTATGCCTTTTTTTGCTATACAGCACTGCACTAATTCAAATGATAATTGCGCGGTCATGCAATGCTGTACCCAAACAAAATTTACGTCCTTTTTTTCACACAAATAGAGCTTTCTTTTGGTGGTATTTTATCACCTGTGCGCTTTTTATTTTTTGCGCTATAAACAAAAAAAACACAATTTTTTTTTAAAAACTATATTTTCTACTTTCAGCTATAAAAAATATATCGTAAACTCAAAGTTAGTCATAAATTTAAGCCAAAATGTATTCTGCTACATGTTTTGGTAAAAAAAATCCCGTGCATTAGCGGGCAAACTGGCGCTATCTAGGAGGGGCGCTAACACTATCGGAAGTCACCAGTGACACTAATACAGTGATCAGTTCTGTTCACTGATCAAATGACACTGGTGACAGGGCAGTGAAGGGGTTAACTGGGGGGGCGATCAAGGGGTTAAATGGGATTACTGTTACTGGCGGGCAAACTGGCGCTATCTGGGAAACAAAAAAGTCCCAGTGCATTACAGCGGGCAGTAAAAATCTGGCGCTATCAGTAGGGGTTAACTCAGGGGGGGGGGGGGGGGTAAAGGGGTTACTATCGGAAACTGTCGCTATCTGGGAGGGGCGCTAGTGAAGTCGCTAACATACAGTGATCAGTAAAAATCTGTTCACTGATCAATGACACTGGTGACAGGGCAGTGAAGGGGTTAACTCGGGGAGGGGGGGGCGATCAAGGGGTTAGGCGGGATTTACTGGTGTATTAGCGGGCAATCTGGCGCTATCTGGGAGGGGCGCTAAAGGGTCGCCAGCTTAAACACTGATACAGTGATCAGTAAAAAAGCGGGCAAATCTGGCGCTATCTGGGAGGGGCGCTAACACTATCTGGAAGTCGCCAGCGACACTGATACAGTGATCAGTAAAAATCGGTTGTTCACTGATCAATGACACTGGTGACAGGGCAGTGAAGGGGTTAACTCGGGGAGGGGGGGGCGATCAAGGGGTTAGACGGGATTACTGGTGTCCTAGCGGGCAATCTGGCGCTATCTGGGAAGGGGCGCTAAACTATCGTGTCGCCAGCGACACTGATACAGTGATCAGTAAAAATCGTTTGATCAGTGACACTGGTGACAGGGCAGTGAAGGGGTTAACTGGGGGGGGGGAGAGATTAAGGGGTTTAATGGGATTACTGTGTACTAGCGGGCAAACTGGCGCTATCTGGGAGGGGCGCTGAACACTATCGGAATCGCCAGCGACACTGATACAGTGATCAGTAAAAATCGGTTCACTGATCAGTGACACTGTGTAAATGTCAACACAGGACAGGATAGGACACTGGGACCGTCATGAATTCAGCAGAGACATCATCATATCCTGTCCTGTTAAATGTCATCGACAGGATGGATCATCTGATCCCATCCGGGATCATAATGGTGATCATCCCTCCGGGATCAAATGGTGTCACCGCGGGTCGGCGGGGAGCGCGCGCGCCCCCTGCCGGCGAAAACGTCAGGAGCGCGGAGCCCGTTTTAAAACGTGCTTTTGCGCCCCAGTGCTGCCCTGCACACGTATATATGCAGTGGCAGGGCGGCAAGTGGTTAAAGACCTCTTTTAGGCACATAGGTTTTGATTTTGCTCATTTATGTTTGTTACCAAATGGAATACAATTACTAATGCACTTATTGCAAATATTTGGTCTCATTCAATGTCATGCAGTAATGATCGCAGCTTATTGAAGTTAGCTTTTTTGAAATTTAGAGTTCTTTTTGTACCAACTGCCTATCTTACCTTTAACTTATGGTGAACGTGTGATCACTATTACCTAAGTTGTCTCTAGCTTGCACATCTGTAAACTTGTTTAAAAATAATAGTTTCAATAGAGCATTTTTCCTTGTTGGAGCTTCAACCACCAGTTCCATTAAATTGTCCTGAAATACATTTAAGAAATGATAAGCCTTTGTTGAGTGTCCACTTCTGTTTGTCCAATCAGTATAATGATAATTAAAATCCCTAATAATAATATTGCAGTCTGTGAAGGAGCTGATACTCTTCTTCATCCTTTTATCTTATTGGTCCTATAACTTACTCCCACAAGTAATTTACTATTTATTGCGCTCTTATGGGGCTCCAGCCATATTGACCATCACAGTTCTCATGATGTCGTCTCTCTCAGTCTCTCATCACTTTCAGATTTCTCTTCACATACATGCATACCTCTCTGCCTCTTTTGCTAGTTTTGTTCCTCCGGAACAGAGTGTATCCCTTGAAATTAGCCACCCAGTCATGTGAGCTTTCAAACCAGGTTTCTGATATTCCCACAAAGTCAATGATTTACTAAAACTGGAGAGTGCAGCTCTGCTTGGCAGCTAATCAGTTTATAACTTCAGCTTGTTCTATCAAGCTTAGACAATAAAACCTGGAAGCCAGTTGGTTTGTTTGCAGAGCTGCACCAGGGTTTAGACTTTCCAGCTTTAGTAAATAGACCTTAACCACTTGTCTACCGAGCACTTTCATCCCCTTCCTGCCCAGGCCAATTTTCAGCTTTCAGTACTGTCGCACTTTGAATGACAATTGTGCGGTCATGCAACACTGTACTCATATGAAATGTTTATCATCTTTTTTTGAGACAGAGCTTTCTTTTGGTGGTATTTAATCACCACTGTGTTTTTTATTTTTTGATAAACAAACCAAAAACAACAGAAATTTTTTTTTAAAAAAAGTTTTTTTTTTCTCTTAGTTTCTGTTATAAAATTTTGTAAATGAGTAATTTTTCTCCTTAACTGATGTGCGCTAAAGAGGCTGCAGTGATGGGCACTGATAGGCTGCACTGATGGCACTGATGAGGAAGCACTGGAAGGTAGCACTGATGGGCATTGGCAGGCATCACTAGTGGGCATTGAGAGACATCACTGATGGACACTAAAAGGCAGTACTCATATATGGCACTGATAGGCAGCACTGACTGGAACTGTTTGGCGGCACTGACTGGAACGGTTAGGCGGCACTGACGGGCACTGATAGGCGGCACTGCCTGGTGGCACTGACTGGCAGCACTCATAGGCGGCACTGATTGGCAGCTCTCATAGGGGCACTGACTGGCACTGGCACTGCAGCTCAGATGGGCACTGATATGGCATTGATGGGCACTGACAGGTGGCACTGATGGGGCTACACTTATCATCAGGGCACTGATGATCAGTGTTGATATCCCCTCTGAGGAATTCCGATTACCGGCTCTCCTCTCCTCACGAACTGTCAGCATGACAGCTCATGAGGAGAGGAATACTGATAACCAGCATTTACATGTGATCAGCTGTGATTGGAAACAGCTGATCACATGACAGAGCCGGTGGCCCAGAGACACAGCGCACTACCGATTGCTCTTACTGATGGCTGCACTAGAAATGCTAGTCGGTGTTTTTCAAACTGATTTCTCATCAAAATGAAACATGGATGGATGCACTGATAGCATTTTCAGTTTGTGGCGTTCAGATAAAGTTTAGGACTTTATGGGCTGCAAAAAAGAATGTGCAAGAGTGGGTTTCCTCACTGGGAAGGAAAGCAAAAACGTATAGTATGTGGTGCAGGAGTCAGGTGTAAAGGCAAACAAGGACAGCAGGGAAGAAAAGTGGAATTTTAGGGTGGAGTGCAGAAAGTGATGGAGTATGCTTACTGAGGGAATTTAACTGAATGTACAGTTGTGGCCATTATTATTCAACCCCCAATGCTGTAAAGGGGTTTAGGGACTATAGTGTACATTTGGAATTGTATTCAGAATCAAATCCTACAAGGAACTGTCAGCAACTAAAATGACATCAATTGACAGTAGTAAATGGTTCTTATGTGGTTTCTTCATTGCCACAATTATTCAACCCCTTAAAGATACCACTCTGAGGATACAGGTGCTTTCCATCAGATTGAAAACACCTGTGGATGTCCGATAACAAGCATAATAAGCACCAATTAGGCAGCTTTAAATGACTGTTACTCAGCTCCTTCTAGACATTTACTGGTGTGGTTAAAACATGGTGAAGAAGAGAATGGTCCAGGAAGACAAGAGAAGAGGTGATTTCTCTCACAGGAAGGGCAATGGCTATAAGAAGATTGCAAAGATGTTAAACATACCAAGAGACACCTTAGGAAGCATCATTCGCAAATTCAAGGCAAAGGGCACTGTTGAAACGCTACCTGTCGTGGCAGAAAGAAGATGCTGACTTCGACTGCTGTGCGCTACCTGAAGCGTAGAGTGGAGAGAAGTCCCCGTGTGACTGCAAACTGAGAAAAGATTTGTCATGTGGGTACAGAAGTGACAATAAGACGCATGCGTAATGAAGGCCTCCGTTTGTTGCTGTCTCCAAAGAATAAGAAGAGTCGACTGCAGTAATGCCAAAAGCCATTGTGGACAAACCACAAAAGTTGTGGGATAGTGTTTCTGTGGACTGATGAAACAAAATTAGAACTGTTTGGGCCCATGGATCAACGCTATGTTGGAGGAGGAAGAAAGGCCTAATGATGAAAAGAACACCTTGCCTACTGTGAAGCATGGTGGGGTCAATCATCTTTGGGGCTGTTTTGCTTCTGCAGGTAAAGGGAAGCTTCAGCGTGTGCAAGGTACCATGAATTCTCTTCAGTACCAGGAGATATTGGATGGAAACGTGATGCAGTCCGTCACACACCTGAGGTGGGAGACGTTGGACCTTTCAACAGGACAATGATCCCAAGCATACCTCCAAGTCCACTAGAGCATGGTTGCAGAGGAAAGGAAAAGTGGCCATCGCAGTTTTAAATCCGATTGAGAACCTCTGGTGGGACTTAAAGAAAGCAGTTGCAGTGCGCAAGCCTAAGATGTGACTGAAACTGGAGGCCTTTGCCCATGAAGAATGGGCGAAGATTTAGATCGCTGCAAGACACTTGTGTCAAGCTATGCTTCACGTTTAAAAGCTGTTATAACTGTAAAAAGGATGCTGTACTAAGTACTAAGATTGAATGTCACTTGGGGGTTGAATAAAACTGATAATGCTGTGAGCACAGAAAAGACATTTGTGGTTATTTCATTATAACTGTTATGTTATATTTTGTCTGACCTACAAGTGCCTCTTTAATGTAAAAAGAAGCAAGATGACTGAGATCAAAAGCAATGTCAAACTGGCCAGCAAATTTCAGTGGGGGTTGAATAATTTTGGTATGCAAGAATTCTCCAATTCTGATGTGTCCCTGCACATTTCTACTACCTTTGATCCAGTTCAAAAAGATGCAGAACAGAGCAAGCATAGGTATAAGTAGGCTTTCATAAAAAATGCCTGCTAGTGAGCATTTTCATTGTTCCATGTGTGAATTCTGTACAGTAATGAACTTTTTTTCACTTCTAGAACCTTCTTGTGACTGGTGCGGTTGACTGCAATCTAAAAGGATGGGATATAAGGACAACAAGGCAGCCTGTCTTTGAACTACATGGTCATAACTATGCTATTAGGCGAGTCAAAGTAAGTTTCCATTCTGACAACTATTTGTTACTTATCCATACAAATGCAATTAAAAAGGATGCATGTTACGGCAAATAGTCTTATATCAACTGAAAAAAATGTTTCTCTATATGCTCTATAACAATATATATATATAGGTATGGCGAAGTCATATCTGTTTATCACTTATGCTGTCTGTGTAGTAGTGCTGCTCCTTGGTTATTCTGTAAGGCACCAATAGACATGGATGTCTGACAGTTGGACTGGGCAACAGTCATTCCCTAAGAACAAAATGACTGGACAGGCTATGAACTTTACCTGATCAGTACTGACATACCAGGTTAAAGGAGAAGTTCACTTTTGGGAACATGTTACATGTTCCACCCGTTTTTAGGGTGGAACATGTAAAATGTTTACCATAGACACTGCCACTCCCCCCCCCTTCCTCTGACAGATAGTACGGGGAGAAGTCTCCCCGTACTATCTGTCTAATTTGAAAACTGTCCAGCCGTTTGTGGCTCCGTCCACACGGCCACGTCATTCATTCACAGACTTAGCGGCTGTCCGCTCGTAATATTCAATGAACTACGATGGTGCTGTGGAGCGCCATGGTACTTCATTGAAGCTTCCTGTCAGTATATCTGCTTGCTCATACATCCCGTATGACAAGCAGATATTCTGACAGGTCTGCAGGAGACCTGCATGGCATCTGGGAACTACTGATTGCTGGTGCAATGCTTTCCAGGCTCCTGTAGACAGAAATAATAAATGCATATTTTTTTACCTGCAAAAAAAATGTGCATTTATTATTTTTGTCTGAAAGGTGAACTTATCCTTTAACCTCCCTGGCAGTATGATTATTTCAGATTTTTGGTGCTGAAAGCGGTACCATTATTTTGCATGGAAATATGTAGTTTTTTTATTGTAGGCCTGTCATTTTTAGGAATAACTCTCACTGAAATCTGTCCGAACAAGAGTCTAGTAAACATTCCGGATATGATAAAACTTGAAACACGAAATCATACATTATAATTTAATAAATAATCATAAAAAATAATAATATAATAAATTTAATTCAATAATATAATCAAACCAAAAACACTGAAATTTGAAATATAGCTCCAAGTTCACAAATCACTGAGCAAAGTCGCAAAATCGTTTTCAGTGTCTGATGATGAATTCCCCCACGAATCATTATCACTCAATTCTGCAAGTGGTTCTGATTTACTATCGCTGTTCTCTAGCTGGTCTAAAACCGCTTTGACCTAAAGGGATGCTTTTTGGATGTCATGGACTTTTCCCAGGCAGAAAGAACAGTCAAAATGCAGGTAGGGCACAGGACAAAGCAGTAGGAACAAAATGTTTGTGAAATGGTTTGAAACAGCAATGTTTTACTATGTAATAATCGTTTTAAAAAAAATTACATTTTTTTAAAATTTCAAATTTGCTGCTGGTTCCTGCGCCCGTACGTCCCGACGTCACAGGGACAGGAACACCGAAGCTGGATGCCAGCATCGGCCGGAGGAGATGGCCGGGGACACTGCAGGGGACACATCGCGGGAGCGAAGGACAAGGTAAGTGCTGCAGGGACTCCCTGAGCAATGACGCATTGTAAGCCCGAGTGTAGCTCGGGGATACCGCTTGTGGTACTGAAATTTTACCCCAAGCTACACTCGGGAATACCGCCAAAGAGGTTAAGCCAGTGCCCGGAATGTCAAAACACACCTGCCTTATCCTCCAATTCTGTTTAGGGCACAAGGTAGCACAAAAGGCATTGTGAGAGAGTTGGATCATGTGTATGGTGTTCAATCACTCATTACTGTTCCTGTTTCTCACTGTAAGTTTTCAGTCAGGTCTGAAATAGGGCAGCTGTTGAGAAGGTAAAATGAACGATTTCATTAAAATACTGGCTGAAAAAGTATTGGAGATAAAATAAAGCAAACATGTTAAGATGGCTGCATTCATATCTGATTATGGTGATTTTCAGGCCTTTCTAGGAGTTCTGAAATCGTATAGGAGCATTTTAGAAGTGTACAGTGAGGAACAGAAGTATTTGAACACCCTGCGATTTTGCAAGTTTTCCCACTTAGAAATCATGAAGGGGTCTGAAATTCACATTGTAGGTGCATTCCCACTCTGAGAGACAGAATTTAAAAAAAGAATTCAGGAAATCACATTGTATGATTTTTAAAGAATTTATTTGTCTTGCACTGCTGAACATAAGTATTTGAACACCTGGGAAAATCAGTGTTAATATTTGGTACAGAGGCCTTTGTTTGCAGTTACAGAGGTCAAACGTTTCCTGTAGTTCTTGACCAGGTTTGCACACACTGCAACAGGGATTTTGGCCCACTCCTCCACACAGATCTCCTCTAGATCTGTCAGATTTCGGGGCTGTCGCTGAGCAACACAGAGTTTCAGCTCCCTCCAAAGATTTTCTATTGGATTTAAGTCTGGAGACTGGCTAGGCCACTCCAGAACCTTGATATTTTTCTTACGGAGCCACTCCTTGGTTATCCTGGCTGTATGCTTCGGGTCGTTGTCATGTTAGAAGACCCAGCCACGACCCATCTTCAATGCTCTGACTGAGGGAAGGAGGTTGTTGCCCAAAATCTCAAAATAAATGGCCCCATTCATCCTCTCCTTAATACAGTGCAGTCGTCTTGTCCCGTTCGCAGAAAAGCACCCCCAAAGCATGATGTTACCACCCCCATGCTGTAAGTAGGGATGGTGTTCTTGGGATGCAACTCATCCTTCTTTTTCCTCCAAACACGACGAGTGAAGTTTAGACCAAAAAGTTCTACTTTGGTCTCATCTGACCACATGACTTTCTCCCATGCCTCCTCTGGATCATCCAGATGGTCATTGGCAAAGTTCAGACGTGCCTGGACATGTGATGACTTAAGCAGGGGAACCTTCCGTGCAATGCATGATTTGAAACCATGACAGCGTAGTGTTCTACCGTCAGTGACCTTTGAAACTGTGGTCCCAGCTCTCTTCATGTCATT